TGGTTTTGAACTTTGTTTTTTTCTTGTAGATGGTTTTCTTTGTGGCCTTAAAGCAGATAGCAGAAGTTGAATCAGAGGAATTGTACAAGATGTTTAAGATTGAGTTTGATAAATTGCTAATAGGGTCACTTTCTCTGCCTATTTACATACCCGGCACGAATTACTATCGAGGATTTAAGGTAAAGGCAAAATCTCTCATATGATCAAGTTATTATATATAAAGATGTACATTTGGGGCTTTGTTCATTTAATTTATCTATATTTGTTATAAGATTGTTGTGTATTTATTCAGGGCAGGGGAAATATAGTCAAGATTTTGACAGAATTGATCGAAAAAAGAAGGGCCTCACGAGCAAATAATCACGATGACTTGCTAGAACTTTTGTTACGAGAAATGGACGCGAAAAATGCGTTAAACGATGTAGAAATTATCGATCAAATAATCACGATATTGTACTCGGGTTGCGAAACTGTATCCACAACTTTGATGATGGCTGTCAAGTATTTGCATGATCATCAAGAAGCTCTACAAGAACTAAGGGTTAAAGATTAAGAAAAAAAAAATACATTCTATTTTTTTATNTTCATGCTCTTTTCGCGTCCATTGCGTTGCATAAATACAATCTAATAACAAACACTCAAGAATACAAAATACATTAGTTGCATAAATGGACAACAATCTTATAACAAACATAGTTTTCACAAATAAATTAAATGAACGAATCCCCAAATGTACATCTCTATATATAAGTTGATCATATGAAACGTTTTGCCTTACCTTAAATCCTCGATAGTAATTCGTGCCAGGTAGGTAAATAGGCAGAGAAAGTGACCCTAAGCAATTTAACAAACTCACTCTTANCTTAAAGGCCACAAAGAAAACCATCTGCAAGAAAAAAGGGCAAAAAATGGTGATCGATACTTCGAAACTCTACAAACACAAAGTAAAAAGAATCATGAAACACACGATACTCCCTTGCAAAACACCCCAAACACTATGTCGACTTTCATCTCAAGGGCCTTTTACCAGGCAGCCAGCAGCTCTAGCATGACTTTCTCTGCCTTCTCCAAGAAACAGACCCCAAGGACCATCAGACCACGAGCTCGGCCGCACAAGATACGTTTGCTGCCCTGGACATTCTGTTGTCTGATCACCGAGACCTGCCGGATCGTGTTAGATATGCCTGTGCCAAATGCCAATGTCTCGCCGGGTCAAAAGATATGTATTTAAGTCTAAACAGAAATATTTTATTGGAAACAAAAATTTAACTGGAGCTAATTTATCGAAAATAGAAGATATCAAAAGTTTAATGTTGAGCTAGAACTGTAAAAAAGCTAAAGCTTAAAGTGAAAACAGTCCATTTAAAACATTAAATTTTCACTTGCAGCCCAAATTCTAGCCAAATAGAACATTTTGTATTGAAAGCACCAGG